ATACCATAATGTTAGCAACAATTCAAATAGGCCAAATGGCAGGATTTACTTACAATTGTCTTCTTTGTTCAGCTATAGTTGGTGCATTTTTTGGCAATCTCACTTCCATAGATTTATCGAAAATATAAAGACCAAGATGGTGTGGCCTTAAAGGAAAGTTACGAGACTGAGAAGCGAAAGCTATTTAAGTTCATAGATCTCAATCCTAGATTAAGGAAGGATCTAGGTGGGGTTCTCACTTTGAATGATTTTCAATAAAACTCCAGAGCATGACAGACCAGAAGTCACAGAGGGTTCGGGATCTGACAAATAAGAGACATGACAAGAAATTGCTTAGACAATATGCAAAGTTTTCGCTGATCTTGGCTACTTCAAATCTCTTGTTCATTAGATTTATCTCGGTCAGTATATCGATGGCCTCTAGGATCTTGCGTTTTCTCGTATTTTTTACCATATGCAACCAGCCTTTCGGTTGATTTTCAGTCAATTTCGTGCCCCGTTCGTGCAATGTGTTCCGCTATTTATGATTTTTCCGTATACATGTTTCTGCAGAATCTTTGATGATTCTTGATTCGTAGGCCGATTTTTCTTCCTGTTTCACCTATATACTTCTGCTCACAGTTGCTGCACTTGATGCGGTAAACTCCCGAGCAATCTAGCTTATAAGACTTATTGTGTTGCGTCGAAAGACTGGTGTAAAGTGTTTTCTTAGGGCCTATAGCCTAAATTTAATCTAGCAGATGCAGAGTGTAGGAAATGACGCCTCGAGCAGCACAGATGGGGTGGCAGGGTTAAAGTGAAATATGTGAACCAGGAAGAGGGCAGACGGATCTTACGGGGCAAGAGGGAGACTCTGGTAAGACCTAGGGAAGGAGGAATGCGCAACAATATGGCGGACTCTGATCAACATTGCCAGGACAAGTATGAAGGGGGGTGAGAACGTTAGCGTGGAGTGTGAAGGGTTCTCATGAAAGCCGCTCAAAAGTGCACACCACACTACATTTAAATAAACAAGGGAAAAAATTGCGATAGGGAAGGCGTGATTCGAGAGTATATGATAGGTGAATAGCACATGACAGAAGGAGGGATACCACAACTGTCTAGCACACATTTGGTCAAAGGATCGGGTCACTTGTCCACGGTCTTACTTTGGAAATGATCATGCATGCAATAGACTCTGGACTAGGTACATTCCTCTAAGTCTTCCTGCCAATATGACTAAGTTGCGAAAACAAGGCCAAACTACTTCTATACAACGAAAGGAGACTGCAACCACACAAAAGGTCACGCCATCTTGGTCTTCATATGTTAGATTGAAGTCTTTTTAACAATCATATATTATTCGTATGTAAATAGATTTTCAAGACTACCAGTAAATCAGTAATATGAGATGTATTCACCCTATTTTGTTTAAGGTGATAAAGGACTGATAGTAGAATTTTCTAACGATGTTGTGAATAGAGCTGACGTTTTAATTGAATTCTACATATCCTTACTTTCCGAAAAGTTGTTTTCATCCAGGTTGGACTGCAGTTTCGACCTCGCATCGGTCTTATTAACACCCCCAGCGTGAGTCGAACCGTAACAGTGAAGAATGTGAGCTTGACACGTTAACCACTCGGCCGCATTGCCACTAGTGCCCTTGTATCACGGTAGTCTCGAAACTCTACTTCCATACGAAAGATAAGTAACGTAGTCGATTGTTATAGCATATATACGTTTGCTTATCGACAATTTCACCGAGAAAAGGAGATTCGGGAAAAGGCATGGCCTTCCTTGAAATTCACATCTTCCCTGTGACTCGAAATAAGTAGACATTAAGCTCTCACCTAAAATTAGGGTATTTTTATTAACCGTAATGAGGCAAGCTAAATCCACATTTCTCGCAGGTTCGAATCCAGCTAAGGGTGAGATCAGAAAAGGCTCAGCAACCAGGAATAAGCCTAGTTTTAGAAAGAAAGTTCAACTATACCTCATTGAAGCCCTTAGGCATTCTCTTTACTCCTGCAAAAATAAATCCGTAAATGAGCAATAAAGTAACCTCACCCACAATGGAGGACAATTTATAAAGTTATAACATGTTACGTTCAGGAGGTGCATGGCATCAGAAAAGAATTAGTCCATGTTTGGCACCCCAGCATGCTTGAGAATGTTATTATCTGGCTATGATTCTGTCTAGATCCTACGTCAACATGCTTGGTTCTGTGAAAGAATAGGCCCATGCATGGACTTTCAGTGACCACAATTTTATATTTTCAAAGGATCTCCTATAAACATGTCCTTTACAGTCAGTATTTTCTCTTTTTAATCAAATCTGTATAGACTTGGGGGGAACTCAGTCCGTTTCTATCCGTAAACTTCACGAACTTTCCGGAAAAAGAGTCATTAATCATATCATATTTGGCCCAACAAGAAGGGACAATGACTCCTCACCACTGACTGGCATGATATATAGAACAAAATTCTGTTGGCAGTTATACGTGTGATTAATTGTCCACATTTGACCCATTTTTGATGAAATAAAGGTCATTTTCACATTAAACAAGCCATGACTACAGTTACCTGTATGACCTTCAGCATCCTTCAAAGCCTAAAATGTTGGAAACACCTGCAGTCTGGTCGAGTTTTATGACGGCAAACATTTCATTTTACCTCTCGAGAGCCATTGAAGATGAGCACACTATGTCATTAATCTACTTACACTTTTGACCCAAGAAATGTAATTGTTGCTCTTCTTTCTGTACATACCTAAGCAAGCAATTAGTTGCTGCCCTATTCATTGTAAATGCGGATTTTCTCGATAGAAGACGCAAAATATACAAATCAAAGCTTTCATATGTAGTGAAAAGATCCTGAGACTAAAATTAGATCTTAAATTAGAAATTTAGTCATCGTTAGCAGCATGAGATAAGACCGATATTCGAATCTAACCTAATTTAATTCTCTTTAATGTGCAAACACAAAAGCAAGCACAGAATAAAAGCAAGTGCAATCTGCTCAAATGATAAATAACTAAAAATGAGACAGAATAAACAACTTAATGTTTCGACACTATCAATTGATCCAGAATGAAAGCAAAACTCATCATAAGCAGCATAAGATACGTAAGAAAGAAAGATCCAAATTTAATATATTCGTCAATTTTTTTATTTAGTGGACATCATTTACTTCTCTTCTGCAAGATTAAGTTGAACGGTCGGAATTCCGGCGAATAGGCGAGATTCTGAATTTGTGATTATGTGATATTATTAATTGACGATATAGAAATTTTGTAATTTAGCGATAGGCTGAATTGTCGAGTTGATAAGATTTTCAATGAGCACGTTATTTCGAGTTGAATAATTGTCTATTAGAAGTTGTTTGACCTTGTTTTCGCAACTCAGTCATATTGTTAGGAAGACTTAAAGGAACGCACCTTGTCCGGAGTCCATTGCATCATCATTTCTAACTAACATCATGTCTAACTTTTAATTTGGCAAGTTGGTGTGTCGTCCAGATTTTGCATCGGCGATTTAAAAAGAACTTTAATTTAGACGTTATACATTTGGCGTTTAGCATTTGTTTGAATTCGTGAGTTGGCAGGTATGCAAGGATTCGGGTTATGGACTCTTTAATATCTTAAAAAGACGAGTTAATATTTTTAATTGGATAGAAAGAAATCTGGTGTTTGGGCTATTGCTTGAATTTGAAAATTGGGAGGTCTACGAGATTTAAGTTAATCAGTAGGAATCTTAGCGATTTGACGGGATTTTCAGTTAGCAAGTTTACGAGATTTCGAATTTAATAATTGTCGAGCTAGTCATTTGACGGGTTGGTGTGCCGGTAGATTTTGCATTAGTTATTTCGGAATAATTTTTTTAGGAGTTATAAATTTGCAATTTGCGAGTGTTTAAATGACGAGCTAGCATAACTTTGAGATTTTTAGATAAATATTTTATCGTGATTTATATCTCCTAAGTTATAAAATCTGCGGCCTAGCAAAACCTTGCATTTTTACTTTGGGAACTTAACAGGTTATTGACATTTTCGATTTGATTAATTGTCTAAATCTCAAGTTAGCAAAGTGTAAAATTGTCGAATTTGCAAGGTTTTGTTTTGGCGATTTGGAAGATTTTTGACTTTGAGATATTTATATTTGGTGAGTTGTACATCTGTCGAATTGGCATGATTGTCATTTCTATGAGTTTTCAGCATGACGACGTCTCAGCTCTGGCAAATACACTATTCAAGCCTGCCTGTGGGGATCCAAGTCGGTTGATGTTTTCAGTTTGGGGCGCAAATCCTCTGTTTTCGGAGGTCGAGGATCGATTAATTCAACTGGTCCCGAAGCCGCATTCCTGATGACCGAAGATTTGGCCGACGGCACCTCGGCGAGCCGGCTAGTCGCGTCCGACGCCCGTCCGACATGCCAGTCGACCCGAGTGTTTAGACCGAGCATTCGCCACTCACTACCGCCCTACAGGACTTCGGTTCGAATCCTGCCTCGTCATCACTCGCACCACCAGCAACAGCATTCGCCTCGGTATCATCAGCAATAGTGATAGTAGTAGTAGCATGGAGTTTGTGTTGCCCATCGGCACCACGACGTACCAGTCACGCCGGCACGAACAGCTTCGTCGACGTGAGTACTTTGGCGTGTTGCCCGACTTCGAGGACGAGCCTACCAGGCCTCAGGTCGCCATGACGACGTGCAACGGTGAACCGGCCGACGAGGTCAAGCCGAGTCGACATTCACGAATCGGCATCTACTACAAACGACCGCCTGGCCTTCGGGCCAGACACGCACTGGGCGACCTAAGCGGCGCCAGTGACACCTCGAACGCCGACTATGTACCCGAGCCGCCCTTTACTCGTCATCAGGACAACCGACTGCGACTCGGTCTGACCGTTCAGTCGAGACTCAGGCCCAGATGGG